TGGAATGCTGAGCCAGGACAGCTGTTTCCTTCCCCAGGCCCATTTTGGTCACCTCTGCAAACAAATCAGTGAGCTTCCTGTTTTCCAGAAATAAGCTCAGGCAGCACACAGCAGGAGATGTGTTGTGCACCTTGTGTGAAGCCTTTGTGCAGCAGTGTTTACCCAGGCTGGAGGTGCTCCTGTGCTCCTGCTCCAGCAGGAACAGCTCTGCCTTTCTTAGCCTCAGCTTTTTCCAGCATCTTCTCAAGCTAGGCCTGGGCTGAGCTGATGGCTGTGAGGTGGTTTTTGTGTTTTCTGCTCACACAGTTGTGCATTGTACAAACTCCCTGCCCAAAAGTGCTGCCAAGTGTTTGGCTGTAGCATTACAGCAGCAAGCTGTGGGGAGGTACAAGCAGCCTCTGTTCACTTAAAAAATAATAAAAAGGCAAACAAAAATAACCAGGACCCTACTCCTCACTGCTCCCAGGAGAAGTACATGTCTGCTCCCATCTCTGCCAAAGGGCTGCTGCTCCATCCCTTGTGTGGGAAGGCTGCTCCAAAGGTTGAAGGAGATGCCAGGGACAGCAGGTGAGTGCTGAGCACGTTCTTTAGCAGGTAACCCATGGCATTGGGTCCCATGAGCAGGCAGGAGCATTCCCCAGAGCAGCTCTTTATCCTCTGCTGCTGTGAGGGGATGGTGATATCTCAATGTCGGGTCAGTGATTTTCTCTGGGCTGGGTCAGTGCAGGGTTGGGAGGGTTTGCTCAGCTCTGGTGCCCGTCCTGTGCTGCTGGAGTGTCCCCAGGGTGCAGTTAAGGAGGGTTAAAAGGACATGTGCAGTTTTTCCCTGCTGTCTCTGCAGGTAAAGGCCCTGTGCACATCAGCCCTGCCCGCTGTGTAACAGCACAGAGAGACCTGCCAGCCTTGGGCTCTCAGCCAAATCTCCTTCTCTGCTTGGGCACAGTGAGAAAAACTGTCCTCACAGAGAACTGGCTGGATTTTAGCAGCAGTTTTGCATTGATCTGTCCTCCTGCCCGAGCTGCAGCCTCACTGCAGTAATCCTTCCTGAGCTTCCTTCATGAGRAAATTCAGCTTTAAATGTGAAAGTAGCTTTATCCTGGCWAAAGAAATACCTGCTCKTCTGGAATGTGGGAAYTTTCTTATTTTACTAGATCTTCAGATTATATACTGTCCATTTTTTTATTCCTCCGTGTAGCAGAGGACGTCCAAGCACCCTCAATGTGGTTTTTTTTTTCTGTGTCTCAGGATTTATGGCTCTGCTGTTAGACCAGGGAGCAAGCCTGTCTGTTGTGTATGGAAAGTATTTCCTTTCTCCTAAACTCAGTTTTTTTAAGTGCATCTTATAAAACACAAAGTTGGGCAAGRTGTTTTTAAAGCAGATTTCTGAGGAGAAGCACACAAACTGCAAGCTGGTTTGCATTAGACAGCAAAACCTGGAGCATTTGGCTTTGATAAGTGAGGCCCAATGTGGTTGGAGCAGAATGGAGCTGGAACAGAGGGCAGTGAGCTGCCTGGGGAGCAGAGCTGGCTGCAGGCAGGGAAAGGGCTGCTTTTGCTTGCTCAGAGTCCTTGTGCCAGTGGAGTAACCTGAATGGCCACACAGAGTGGCACAGGGATCAGAGCATTGCTCTCGAGGGGCACAGGGGACAGAGCATTGCTCTCGAGGGACACAGGGGACAGAGCATTGCTCTCGAGGGGCACAGGGGACAGAGCATTGCTCTCGAGGGGCACAGGG